ATTTTCATGGAGGTTACCTGCAGACGATGAGAATCACATTTTCCACACCAAATGGGCTGTTCCAGCATCTCCTTAATATGGGATCAAAGACCAGGCAGCATCTGTGCAGCCAGTTTGTGCCTCATATTGCTTCCCCTTAGCTCAGCTAAAGCGGTGCTGTGCCAGCGACGTCAGGGCTATCCCTGACTATTACTGAAGGCAAAAAGCTACCACTGCCTCCACTGCCTGTGACCTGCTGATAGAAAGAGTTACTGGGTAATCCATCTGCACGTGAATATACCCATTATAATCTGTCCTTGCTCTCCTCTGTGCAGCGTATCGGGCCACAGCAGATGACACCCTGTGGACTGCTGCACCTCATGCTTTTTCCTCCCCTGCATACCTCCGACGCTCCCCACTCATCATGCACAGTGCTGTTGGGGCCGTGCCATTAGTCCTGCTGTCTTGTAGTCCTAGATGCCTCAGGGGAAGAGAGGGGCCAAAGTTGAGCTTAGGTGTGAATTTTGCTATGCTAGGGCAGAATCGTGTTGCCTACCTACGTCTGCAGCTGAGTGATACGCAAACCAAGGTGTCTTGATTTCACATAACCATACAAGTTCCCTGGGCATCTGAATTTCTGGGTTTGTTGTTTTTTCTTGCAACATTTTTGTTCTTAAGTCCAATTTGTCACTATGTAAAAGAATATGTAGCTGTATTCTTAATTCAGCAATGCAGAAATTTTCTTTCTGGCAATTACTGAAGACATGATGTCTGTACAGATGTTTTGAATTATCAGACAGAAAACTTGAAATTAATTATCAGTGTTTACTCAGTCCTCTCACCCTCCTGAGGACACGTGCCTGTTTGCAAGCAGGTATTCAAGGCTACATGCTAACTTCTAATCACTGCAGGTCCAGCACTTCTTCAGCTTTTCCTCTTCCCAAATCCTTTGATGTTTTCACCCCCAAATGAGTAGAAATATGAAGAGATTTGAATTGTGAGGTATGTAATTTTACAGCGTTTTGTATCATTCTCAGGCATTTCTGATCGTTCCCTGGCGCAAAAGACGTTGTGTCCCGACTCCAAGACTTACCTTGGAGAGCATTATAACACACACTCTCTCTTCGGCTGGTCACAGACAGCACCAACTTTCCAGTAAGTTTTCTAAGTATTTCTAAGCAGATTTCAGGTCATTGAAATACATTTTAAAATCCGCTGATGTTACCTGGGAAATCTGTAAGACTATCTAACAAGAAACAGCCCCATGCTTCATTTTACTGTTTGTCATTTCATAAGAAGTTTCAGGAGAAGAGAATCTTGGAAGAAGAAACAGAATCTTTTCCAATTTTACTTCTTTTTAGCTAAAATCAGGATCTACTTGTAGCGCCTGACTCTTCAGCTGCTGCTTTTGTATAGCTAGAGCAAGATGTTCTTATCCTCCATTAGAGCTGCTCAGGTGCAGCTGCTGCAGAAGCAGCTTTGTGTGGTGTCAGGGGAATTTTTCCATCCCTTCATTACCGTGGCCCAAGCAGAGGAGTTTCTGTCACTGCTAGTGAAGGATCTGAACTGTGCAGCTCCCCCAGCTGCTTCTGGAGCTGCCTCTGGTTCCTGACAGGCAGCGTTTTGCATTTTGGCTTGGGGCTCAGTAGGTCCAGGAGGGCAGAGCTGCATTGCAGCACAGTTGCTATCAGCTACTGTAAAACTCATTTTGCAGCTGGGAAGCACTCAAAACTAGCTTACACAGGCAGACTGTTGCTGTGAAGCTGGAGTGACCGTGGAAAGCAAGCTGTTGGATTAAATCAAATGGGCAAATCATGCCTTTTCCAGCAGTGATTGAGCTAAGACACGAATAAGTTTAATACCGCAATGTAAGTGCCAAAGCAGGGGTCTTTGTGCTAGCTTATTTTGGTATTTAGCACTCATTTTCAGCAGCTGTATTGTGATAGCATCCAGAGGACATGGCTAAGTGAGCCTACTTACGGTGCTGATGCACTTGCATTTTATATGCCAAGCCTGGGGGAAGGGAAGCACTGGGTAAATGCCAGAAGCAGTTTGCCAGCTCTTGTGGGTCTGGCTGAAGAGCAGTCCAGCTTTTGAGAGAAGGAGCAGAAAACTCTCAAACCCTGGACCTCGCTGGCCATGCAGCCCAGCTAGGACACATGGGACTTGGCGTGGTTTTTGTGCCCCTATGCCCCAATCTCAGCAAAAATCCTCCCATCACTGTTCTCTCCATGGGGACTGGTCCTCTGCACACTGGGGTCCACATAACCATGCACTGTCTTGGTAGCACTGTTTGAATAGACTGTGGATTTGCCTGTCTTCTGGAGCGGTTTTTTTTTTAGTTTTATTCAGGCTCTGTGCCAGCAAAGCCAATTGCCTGAGACAAACCCTGTGAATTTAGCAGGAAAAGCTCCATGTGCCGGCACATCTGCCCCAGCCCCTTCAGCGTGCACACTGTGCCGGCCACGCTAACCCGGACCAACACCGTTGGGATGGTTACTGCTGCACGGCTCCTTGCAGCCTCCCCCAAGGCTGTGAACCTTCCCCATTCCTGCAGTGCTTGCTCCCAGGGCTCCTTCCAAAAGAAACACATATTTTGCTCAGCCAAATGTAGAAAGTCCTTCAAGGCTGGAGAACACCACCAAAAGCATAAACAGAGGCCGGATTCACTGCAAAACCGGGAAACTTTGGTGATGAATTTTTCATACATATTCATTCGGGTTTCTCAAACACATTTCGTTTCAAGGCTGGTTGTATACCCTTTCTGCATTCGCTCTTCACAAACAATATACTAAATTAAATTACTGACAGGAATATTTAGCAAACCAGCATCAGTTGCAGGATATTGGCTGAAAACGAATGACAAGTTCATAATCATATAAAAAACAATTCTAAGAATTATTCTAATGCAGCCAGAGAATAGGAAATGTGTCATCTGACCCAATATCAAACGGCTTGAATTTGGATACATGAGCTAGCAGCAATCAGCTTGTGCATAGCTTAATGCCAAGAGTTATTTGCACATGATATTCTGTAAATAATTTCAATCAACAAATACATTTGACGACATTAGGACCTGTTTGGCAATGGGTCACAATAGACTGAAATTGATTCAATGAATTACTTGTTGCAAATTGTTTCTGCAGCTCTGGGTCATAGTTGAGTTGATCCGATGTTGCCCTCATTAACACCTGCATTTGCAAATGGAGCCAAAGCCTTGTGCTGCACAGCCAGAGGAAAGGACTCACACTCAGGACACCCATGAAATGGCTCCAAAAAGCCATTTATACAAAGCACATGGAGTCTTGTGCAGTTATTGGGCTGAGCAGTGCACCTACAACCCAGAACCAGCAGGTCCTGCATGGTTCAAGAATTGCACCTCTTGCTGCATATGGCCCATAAGGTTAATATGTTTAGGCTTGCATGAAAGCTGTTGGGTTTTTTGCTTCAGAAACAAATGTTGAAGCATTTTAAAGGCTCTGTGCCATTACAGAACCAATACCAAATATTGGCCATTATGAATACGGATGAGAGAGCTCTTGATCAAATCTCATTAAGGAAAGGGAGATGGAGGTGGATGGTGAACAACATGATTAATATTTCATGCTAGGATTTCCCAGAGAATCTAAGTTGTGTTGCCCAAATCGTATTAAAGCAGAGTTGAATCTGAGTTCCTGCAATATATAATATTGCAATATATAATTATGTACAGAGATTATCCTATGTTGAGGAATTTTGTAACAGATTTGTTAATAAGGCATTTTTCACTTCCTTGATTTTCTGGTGATGCAGCAAATTTATTTTCAAGAGGCAAGGAAAAATTCATTACACCACTAATTCTGTAATGAAACCTCATATATCAAACAATGGCAGGAAACCAGAGGAAATACCACAAGGATGGGGTGACATTTTGAATGATTACATTTTTGCTTTCTATATTGATTGTTTCTTTTTTTAAGATGTTCAGATATTGTTTTGATGTTTTCTGGGTTTTTTACTTTTAATTCCAGGATATTAGAACTTTATTTGCCAATAAAAATCTCTAAATAAATCCTATATTGAAAAAAAAAATTATACTGTTTTTTAGCAACTTGTAGGACACTAAATTAAATGTAGTAATGCAGAAAGGAAATTATGCTTCAATTTTTCAGTTTGATACACTTTTGAAAATGAATTAAATGTGAATTATTTTTTTTTGGGAAGGCTAAAAATACCTGAAACAAATTGGTTTGTGGATCACGTAGATTTTCGGTTTTTGTTTTGGCCACTGAGTAAGACTTCCCATTATTTGCAGTTTTGCAGCCACATTTTCATGTGACTCAGGACCATAATAATCATTGCTTCACGAATAACACCCCTTCAGATAAAATTGTGCCTGAAAGCTCAGGTTGACCTTATTTTTAATGACCTTGTTGCACTTCTTCACAGTGTTGTCCAGCAAGCAACCGGAAAGCGAGCGTTTGTCTTGAGTCGGTCTACATTTGTTGGCAGTGGGAAGCATGGGGGTCACTGGCTGGGTGACAACTTCTCTCGATGGAAGGACATGCACCACTCTATCATTGGAATCCTGGAATTCAACCTCTTTGGCATCCCCTACGTAAGTCCGGTGTCCTTCAGGCAGTTGCTGGCTCATACACAATATCACTTTGCATTAACTCAAATGTTTTCTGAAATAAGCTGCTTGAGACGGCCAGCAGTAACGGCCTTCACAGCATAAGGAACTGCAGATTAAAAAAAGCTAAATGTCATCAATCTTGGCTGGCTGAAGAGAAACAAAAATAGCACTGCTTGATTCAGATTAAATCACTGCATGCCATCCAAAACTGATCCCTTTATATTATGTATTCTATCACTGAAGTCCCTTCATGTATTTCTGGTTTTGCAAGCTGGGCTGCAGAATTTGTAGAATTACTGAAATACGGTCAGATCTTCCACAGTGATGTTAATGCTCTAGGAGCCAGCACAATCTCAGTCCCAGAAAAATTCCTATCATTATGGAGCATTCTTATAAAGTCATCAGAAATAGGTATCTCTTTCCAAAAATTCTTTTTGATAACAAACTTCTGCAGTTTCTAATTTTTGGGCCTCAGTCACAATCACAAACTCTTATTTAATGATTTTATTTTTTCTTTAGATCGGTGCTGATATCTGTGGGTTTAACTATAACACTACCTATGAACTCTGCTTGCGCTGGATGCAGCTTGGCTCTTTCTATCCATTTTCCAGAAACCACAATGCAGAGGGAAATAGTGTAAGTAAATGAAGTTACACAAAGCTGTAGTCTCTGGTTACAGTAACAACAACAATGATTTGTATTACTTTCTCAGAAATTAACCTGCCATTGTCAGGTAAACTGGAGCAGCAGGTGAAAAGGAGTGCTGCACTGAGAGCAGGAATTACATGATGAAGTGTAAATTTTTCCCATCCACAACGTAAAGATGACATAGAAATGCTGAAAAATACGTAGCATCCAAAAGCCATGCAAAAATGTGTACCATGTACTTTGAATGATAGAAAATCTTCTTCCCATGCTGTTGGTAAGATTCATTCCCTCCATCTTCTACCTACTGAAGCCCAGGTTTTATTTAAGAGCCAGCGAGTGTCAGCACATCTTTCTACTCCCTTGTTTACTTCAATTTTTGTTTCAGTACTTCTGTAACTATAATAGGTATTGTGGGAAGGGGAGAGAAGGCACCATACACCATCTTTGCTGTTTAAAAGCAAGTTTCAGACAAGCGCCACAGTTAGAAACTCCAGACAAACATGTGAGAACTCCAAGGAGGGCCAGCAATAGCGACAGCATTATCAGCCAAGAAGCAACAAAGACTAAAAAAGGCCAATGAACCCATGAGAAGGATGAAAAAGTGCAGTCTCAGTCCAGGCCCATGCCCTGGCTTCAACTTATCATAAAGTCCTTTCAAGACTTGTCAGAGATAGGGAGAAGTGTCAGGTTGTTTCTAACTATGAACAGTTTGAAGGTCTTGCAGCCTTTGTAAGTACACTGTGTTTATCTGCAGCCACGATGAAACGGTTCTGCTAGTTCAATAAATGTCTTTTTTTTTTTTTTTCTTCTGTAAACTGATCTGTGCAATGCTGGAGCTCAGGTTATTAGCTAACCTTCAGTTTTCTTTGAAGGTGCATTATCAAAATGTTGCAATGTTTACACCCCCAGAAAGACCTCTGTCTCTGCATGAAAGTATATTGGACGTTCAGCAACTGGGCAAATGCAGCAATAATAAGCTATAGTGCTGTCATTAAGAGGGTCAGCAATTACCCTGTAGATCCCTGAGATATGCTGAGATATTTCTCTCTAGCAGAACAAATGTCTGTGAGGTGTTAGCTACTGCTGTTGATAAATATTTTCTATTTACCTCTCCACTGAAATTAGAGGCACCTTATCTATGCATGTTTTCTTGGCCCTTTGAGCATGCAAACGGGGTCAGATCTGGGTGAGTGGGTATTATTCACATATGCACAATTTAATAAGCAGGCAAAGAGCAATGTGTTTATGTGACGGGAGCTACAACTCAGTGTTGAGTGAATGACAGAAGTAACAAAATAGGCATTTGGTTTTATCGGATTACTTAAATCCATTTAAAACGTGGAGTTCACTGAAAGAAATGAACAAGGCATTTTGGGTGACTCAGCATCACCTAAGAAGTCTGACTCTCTTTTTGTGAACTTAGGCAATATTTGTACAGTGTCAGAATACTGGTAAAAATATAGTGTAATTTTTGAAATAATAGATGGATGCTCTGGAGTGCAGAGCCAGCAGGGAATATTATTAGTGACTAATTCTGATGTAAACATAACAATGGAAAAATTTAACTTAAATATTGAGTTTCATTAATATTAAGTTAGTGTTAAAATAAAATCTTAAATATCCACTTTGCCTAATCCATAGGGGATTTCGAATGGTTTAATTAATACTTTTCTTGTCTGAAAAGCGCTAGATAATATAAAAAGCTTTGTTACTTCTGTTCCTTTTATGTTTTGTTATCCTTGGAATTCATACATTCTTCAATTTTAATGAGAAAACTGAGTGTTATGGGAAAATTTTGTGAAGGAGGAAGGGAGCCGTGTGACTCGTTAGCTGGCTCAGTTTAATGCTGGAGAAGGTCAGACAGGATGAATTAAAGGAGATGTAAACCGTATCAGCACTGCCCTGGGCCACGTGCTCCGCATCCCATCGCAGGGGAGAGTCAAGGCTGCCTTGAAGTAGATCAGAAGCAGCCAGCAAGTGTCGACAGATTGCTTAAACGTGTCCTCTTGATGGTGGGACCCAGTGTGCACGCCCTCTCTCCCAGGAAAGCATCGCGGGCAGTGAGGCGGCAAGGGGCACTGCTGATGCGTGGGTGTCCCCTTGGTTGGGTCATCCTAAAACGGTGGGCACAGGAGGAGAAATCAAGTTTCTTTGTATGGATGAAATGTTTTCCCCACCACACACAGTGACTTTGGTCACTCCTGTTGGCTTCAGCAGGGCCAAGAACTTACTCTTACTTTTAAATAGATTTGCCTTTATGTTCTTGGCCAACATAATCATGCTTTTGCCTTTGTTTTACAGATTATCAGTCCTCCCTTTTTCCTGTGTTTCACTTTCTCTGTCGCAGAGGGCTTGCATCTCCAGGATAAATCAATTTCTAGGGACAGGGTGTCTGTTCCTGAGCACACACGTAAAAGCCCAGCTCCTCTCCCATCACGAGGTTAGGGGCGGCTGCAGATGGCTCACATACACCGCAGAGGGGCCCGATCTCTCTGAACTCACTGGAATTTTTCCAGTTGAAAAATTTTATACAAGTATTAGTTTGGTGATAATGGATGTTGTTCTTAATACATCTTCCAGTTTGCATATCAGTGCTTTTTCTTATTTAAACATCCACTTTTGTAGCATTATGTCAGCCACAGCTCTCCTTAGGTTGCACGCAGGTTCTCTGTTGAATTTGCAGTCCCTTGTTATAATAATGCTCAGTACAAATCAAAGCTTTTCCTTAACAGGAACAAGACCCAGCAGTGTTCGGAGAAGAGTTTGCCAAGATATCTCGTGCTACGCTTCAGATCAGATACTCACTGCTGCCATACTTATACACCTTGTTCTTCGAGTCTCATGTTCACGGAAACACGGTGGTGCGGTCACTGATGCACGAGTGAGTTTGGAGTCTCTCTTTTTTATCATATTTTACTCCCAAAAGCAGTTGAGCTTCTAGTTATAAACTAGTTGATACCTGTTTCAGAATAGTCACAGTAATATTACTGCATGCTTTGTCTTAAAAAGAACAGTTTTACAATGAAATCTAATCAAATTATATGCACAAATATAGCTCTTAATATATGCAATGGATTTTCATTAAAATATAACCTATATTTGTTTCCATTGGAAAAAAAAAAAACTAAGTAAGGAGAATTCTCAAAATTTCTTGTCTTAGGCAAATATGCAGTTCTTTTTTATTTTAAAAATAGGAACCGCATACCTGTATTTTCTGTATTTGAATGAAATCTATGAAATCTGTATTCTGGTCCAGAATGCCAAGAAGCCCTCATACAGAGAAGTCTCCATTTTCCAATCATCCACAGCATTTGCATTTTCCAATTTAGCACTTGCATCTGCATGCTATGTATGAAACCTACATCTGTGTCCACAAATTGTACACAGAAAACAGAGATAGAGATGTTTGAGTGTAGAAGCAGGTGCAAAACCAAGATTAATAAACACAGACTGAAAAAAACCCTCAGAAAATTTGACCTCAGATTTTTGGAACAACTCATTTTTTCTGTTTGGAAGAAGCAGGAATCAAAGTGAGGTTTAGTTTCCCTCTCAGCATCTTTTAATTAGCTTTTTACCCGCTCTTAGTAAATTTTCTACTTCAGAATGCTTTATGCAAAGACTTGAGCAAAAGGAGTGCAAATAATACATATGAAAGGCTACTGCCCGAGGCTCTGACACAATTTAGTCTCATTGGTGCAAGCTACATCCTGGACTGTTTAATGTTCTTTTTCCCTTTAGGTTAAAAACATTTTGGTTAAAGGGTAAGGCATTTTTTACAAATTAATTTGAGATTACACTAAAGTGCAGACCATTCGAAAGACCACGGAAAGGATATGCACAAAACCTGTTTTGCTGACTCAGCGTTACACCTAACTGAAAAATTTTAAAAGCAGTATCCTTCCCCTTCCTACTCTGCTAACTTACTTAACTGTGTTACATGAAGGAGAAGTTTTATAGGTACTCATGTCTTACAAAGGGCTATATGCTATTTCAAATATTTCTCTTAGCTCTATTTTTGCTTAATGAGATTTGTGTTAATATTGGAAATTACCAAGTTCATTTTGGCATTAATATTAGCTATTCTCTCCTAACACTTTAGTGTATTAAAGAATTACTTTAGTGATGTTAAAGCTGCCTTTCTGACCATTCTCAGCACACTTGTACTCTATTTGGGCCACATCTACATTAGCAAATTTCCAAATTTGCTTTGATTTGAATTGTAGAGCAGTCTCAGATGCACCAGCAGAGGCTTCCGCCAGATAAAGCCGAGCCAAAAGGTGCGCTCCAGCCATTGATGGGAGTTTAGTCAGTGGGACCAGACTGGGATTATTAGGAAATAAAACCTCTAAAATGCATGTAGGGAGTGGAGGCATCAGGAGATCAGCACAAACTGTTTCACTATACAGGTCCCATCCTAGTGGGCACATCACTTGCTAATGTTGCCATATCTAGAGTCTAAAATGGCTTAAAAGTATTCCTTACTATTATTAGTTAATTCTGGTTACTACTGTTACTTAGTGAGTATTTCTTACTATTTCTAATTAATATTCATTGGTTTAGTGAGTCTGCTCAAGTAGAGAAAGTGACCCAGATGCTAACAGGAGGAGACAAGTGCGTTTTAGAGAAAGAGGGAACTGAAACAGAATTTTTTATGTACGGATGATGGAATTTTACATCAAACCTTTCCCTTACTTGCAACAAATACAAAGGAGAGCTAAAAAACCTGCACTAGTTTTTCAGGTGGAGCTGTTATGAGTTCACAAGCCTCACCGTGAAAACAACTCTGCCTGGGCAGGGAGTGTCCAAGCAATAGCTATTTCATGTGGTCATTTCAGATTTTGCATTTCATTTCAAATATTTAGGTGCTCATTTCAAATAACAAACAAGAACAACATACCAGTACACTCCTATAAGCATTTTAGGTGCCTCTGAGGCTTTCACTCAGTGAAACAGAGGTGCCAGTATCTCAGCTGTCCAAAAAGACCAGGAGGTGGTAATCCATTACTGGAAGCAAAAGCTCTGCTTAATGGATAAGCGGGGGAAAAATAAGACAGAAGAGAGGCCAGCATCTAACCATAGGAAGCATGTAGATGGAATTAAGCACCTTTCCTAGCTCACAGATATGGCTTAATGGCTTATGTTTTCAAAATGGGGAAGTTCATTTGTTTGTTGAATTTGTGCTCGTGGTTGCTATAATTGCAAGAGAAAGTAGTGCTGAGTTAGATGGCGAGATGCTTGTTTCCGTGTGCAAATAAGATCGACTTCTCTTTTGTCATAATCTCTTGATCAGCTTTTTCTCCTGCAATCTCCCACAACAAAGTATATTGAATCAGTATTATAATTTTATTACAGCAAAATTAAAAATACATAGAAGCTATTGAGACAAGAAAAACTAACGTTTTTTATTTAAAAACTTTAAGACAAGATAATTAATAAAAAAACACCCCCCACTTAAAATATTTAGAAAGCATTAGGTCAAAATGCAATAATGAACAAGATTCAGGTGTCCAAAAGAGCTACTGTTTTTGACCGAAAAGGAAACTGAATAAATTGAGGTTCCTTTCAGGCAGAGCCTGAGGCATGCCTTCAAGAACATTTTTTCCTGAGTTCCATGTACTCCCCCAAACTTGCAATATTTTAGAAATCTGAACAAAAAATAGATGTCTCTTTATTGCCAAGGTGGTTTTGCTCATTTGGGGTAATTTCTGTAAGTCTGGCCTGGGTGTATGACTATGCCCTGAGCAGGCAGGGCAGGACACCCACACCGAGCCACTCTGCTCCAGCCAGCGTACAACAGAAACCTGTCTTTAGACAGGGGCAGCTGCCAAGTCAGTTAAACAGACATGGTAAAGGAATTTTTGAACAGATAATTTGTACATCCGTAGAGAATAATAGATTAATATGCAACAGCTAGTGTGAATTTGTCAAAAGCGAATGATGGTAAACCAGCCCAGTTGCCATCTTTGACAAGGCAGCAGGGCTGTTGGATGGGAAAGGGAGCAGAAGAGCAAGAGAAAACCGGAGGTACAAGGTACCTTGATTTTAGGAGGGCTTGGGACACACTCCACGTGACATTCTTATAAGCTAACTAGGGAACAAGGATCCGTTACAAAATTCCTCAGACACAGGCTTACAAATGATTGAAAACTTATTTAAATTCTCAAGGATTTTATGCCAGATGAGTGGAGGTTTCTGAGATGGGGAGGATCTCTCCTCTTTGCCAGGTGCTATTCAATATTTTCATTAGCTGATGCATGGTGGACTAAAGATCTCTTCCCAAGCTGGCAGATGATGCCAGGCGAACGGGACTGTAAGCACTCTGGAGGACATGATCAGAATCTAAAACAATTTTAATGCATTGAATAAAATGGACTGAGTTCCATAAGTTTTCATCCATTCAGGAAAGGCAGCTTAAAAAGTGCAATATGTATGAACGTTGCTTTCTGTTTGTCCTGCAAAAGATTTCTAATGTAAATCTGTGAAAGGTGTGGGAAGCCAAATCCAAGGATTTTCACAAATGCTTTAGATCCCAGAGCACAGCATTATTCCTCTGTGTTCCCTCTCCTGGTCCTGGCCCCTGTCCTGCTCTTTGGCTCCCTTGATGAAGTCTCAACCCACTGGACAGAAATTAAGTTTTGTTTTCCCACCACTGCTATTCTGAAAAGAAATCAACTCCAGCATTTTGTGAGGGTTCTGGTCTGCTCCAGTATGTAGGTACTACTGTAATTTCTGAATCTCTGTCTAGCTTTTGGCATTCCCTCAACCAGGAAAAATATGTGGCAGTGCTGAAGGATGTCTTGAGGAAGCAGATTTCTTGTCACAGTGAGTAATATCAAAATATTCTGCAAGTTCTAGAAAAATGTGGATTAACATTGTGTATCTCTCTTTCAACACTAGATTTACCTCCGATCAGCAGACTCATGGAATAGACACTGCCTTCCTTTGGGGACCTGCTTTTATGATTGCTCCCGTTCTTCAAGAGGTAAGTACTGTAATTAAAAAATGCCATCATACTGGAATAAAAGAAATGAACTGCGCTTAGGGCACTGGATGACATTCAGGGCATGTTTGCTCGTATTCACCCATTTCTTCCCTCCACTGTCAAAGCTTGCAGAATGCATTTCTGAGCAGCACAGACAGTACAGAGCTGCCCAGTGCTTGAAGTGGGAGGATGAAAGTGAGGGCATGGCATTTCCCTGCTATTCCAAGCACCTAATGGATGTAAACAGGCTGGATGCTGCCCCTCACGTGCTCCTCTTATTGTGCTGACAGATCCCTCCAAGGACGCACACAGAGCAGTAATTGTCGAGCTAGGAAGAAACACGCAGATATTAAAGCCAACTGGTTTCCATATTACCACTCACCCACAGCATTTTGGAACTGTAGCATCTCAAGGGCTGTGCTAGGAGTTTCCCAGCATCACAGGCAAACGCAGTCATTACAGAAATGGTAATGACAATGTTAGCTGCTAATGTGACAGGTTTTAAAATGGCTGTGCTGGGCATGGCACTGGGGTCAGGGCTCTCACCGCTCGGCTGGAGCAAGGGTGGGTTTCTCTCCTTGCCCCACCACTGACTGCTGACAGCACCAGAAAGGTATCTCTGAGCAGAGCTAAATATTTGCATGCGATGTATCCTAGAGCTGTTTGCAATCAGCATGCTGCCAGAATATCTGATACTTTTTCTATATGTTGCTGATGATCAAACATATGATCAGGCCACTGTTAGTCACCTTTTTTTATCCAGCCCTTGTGCCTCTGTGAATTTAAAAGGAAATTCTTATTCCTGCATCTAAAACCCTTCTGACTCCACCGAGGCACTTCATTCGTCAGTCTTTCATCTTCAGACTCCCCCAGGTTTCTAATAGCTGATGACTAACAAGGAGATTTCACAGGGTCTCAGACCAGCAGGATGATGAAAGACATGAGACAAACCTTCCCACGAAGAGAGGGTGACAAGCCAGGGGTGGCTTCCTGCAAAGAAGTGAACGAAAGGGAACATTATAAGGATATATAAAATGATAGGGGGTCTAGATAAGGGATTCCTAACATTTTTGGGGGACTGCAGCACAAAAGAAAGGCCAAGTGCCTGTGGCCTGATGGGGGAAGCAGAGCTTTGGAGGCAACACGTTGCTGGGTCTTGCAGTGGGAGAGAGGTGGCAGCCAGGGCTTGTGCCAGCTAGCAGGGCAGGGGGCAGAGGAGAGCTGTAAGCCCCTCACCGTGGCATTGCAGGCCAGCAGTGACCGCATCAAACTGCAGCATGGCACCCACTTGTCTAGAGACAGGTCAGGGACAGCTTTCTCTTCGGTCCTTGAGTCCTAGGGTGTAAGCAAGTGAGACATCCATCAAAATTAAAATGGAGAACTGCCTTATGCGCTGGCTTGTTATTTAGGGAGTCATGAAGGCAAGGCTCATCATGATGCAGATGGCAGTTGCACACTTCTCTGCAGACCAAAATATCCAGGGTTGTCATAATAATGCAGAGAAAATATGGTGAGAGGGGCATCTTGACTTTATAGGGTTTTTCCTTCAAGTTTTCAAGGCATTTTATAGATTAAGCCAACATTTAATTGTTAAACACCTAGTAATATCTAAACAGACAGAGCAAACTACCCCAACCTTACTTACTGTAGCAACTAGGACACTTTGCCTGAAATACCTAGCACTACCCACTGTGGAAGACAGGCTGCAGGGTAAGAGAAATTTCCAGTTTAGCAATTCTTGTATTTTAATGAGACATTTGCATGCTTTAGTACATCACTTATTTCTTACTCCTTCTATTTGTTTGGTTATATATATATATA